GAGGCAGAGGCAGAGGCAGAAGCAGAGACCCACAGCCAAATATCAGAGTCTTGTGGAAGAGTGGAGGATAAAAGTGAGCAAGTCTGAGAGGTCAAGAAGTCCTACAGTCAACTAACTTTGGACCATGGAGGCTCACAGAGCCTGGGTCACCAACCAGGGAGCATGCAGGAGCTAGATCTAGACCCCCTATATATTTGTAGCAAATGTGCAGCTTAGTCTTCATGTGGGTCCCTTAACAAGAGGAGCTGGGGATATCTTGGTCTCTGTTCCCTGCCATTGTATCCTCTTTTCCCTAGTTGTACTGCCTGACTGGGTCTCAGTGAAAGACGATGTGCCTAGTCCTGCTGGGACTAGCTGTCCCAGGGTGGGATGGTACCCAAGAGGAGGAGGCAATGGGGAGAGGGATTTGTAAGGGTGGAAGAAGGGGAGAGGACCTGTGATCAGAATGTAAATTGAATAAAAAATTAAAATTGAAAAAAGAGAGAGAAGTGATGAGCATGGAAGGGATTGAAAGGGGCAATTCCATCATAAATCAGAGTTTGATGGCCCTGGAGGACACAGAAGAAATACTGTGCCATACATAGTGCAGCATCACCAAAGGTGCCAGTGTCCAGCAACTCAGAATGGTGCCTGGACTCACCACAGCCCCCAGCACTGCATCTCCTCCTGATTTCATGGTCTTTTAAGATGTATTATCAAAATTAACAAGACCCAAAGTCCATGCATCTCAATGAACTCCTACACGGAGCAGACATTTGGAACAGAAGCTGTGGTGCTTCTCAATGGGTTTCATACTTTAACTATTAAATATATTTGTGCACTTATCCAACTCCAAAATAAAAAAATCCATGACTCAGTTAGAATTAGAAAAACAATTCACTTTACGTCTTCTTTGCATATAACTTCTGTCTAATATTTATTATTTGTTATTTGGCCTTTTTTATTCTTTTCTATATGTTACACTATACCCACATAATCATTTGTTTACACACACACATACACAACTTTGGTTTGTGATGTTTTCATTTACACAATATTTTTTAATTTTACATGCATTGGTGTTTTGCCTGCATGTGTATCTGTGTGAGGGCGCCAGACCTCCTGGAACTGGAGTTACAGCCAGTTATGAACTGCCATATGGGTTCTGGGAATTGAAACTCTAGAGGAGCAGCCAGTGCAGTGCTCCTAACCACTGAACCTGCAGGGGTTTTTTTTCTAATAATAAAGTTTAATTAAAATATATATTACCTTTTGTAAGATCTTCTCATCATATCTAAAATCTGTTTATATATACACAGACACAAACACAGATACACACACACAGCCCACTGTTTTTCCTGTGTCGGAATATGACAAAATGAGACTGAAAATGATTTATCCTGAATTTCATGGTGCACAGTCTTATGTTGCCGTGGTATGAGTGTTTATGTCCTTTCCATGGTGGGTACAGCTTTTATGGATGAGATCAAGATGCTTATGTAAGAGGCCTCGGAGGTACTTCAAGGAAAACCTAATGTGCCTAGTAAAACTGCATATGGCAGCTAAGTGGTTTCTTGCATTCTAACCCACTCAGCCTTTCTCTGAAGAATAAAGACACATTTGTTACTGCCCAGAAGCTGTGATTCATACTTAATGAGAACTCAGTGTTTTTCTGTTTTCTTTTTTTTTCTGTGTTTTGAGGATCTTCATGCTTTGTAATGAGCCATTTTTTTTAAAAAAAAAAGATAAATACAAGGTAACAAGAAGTTTTCCAGTTAATATTTTTCTTGTTGTGATAAAGCAAAAAAACATGGGGAGGAAAGAGTTTGTTTGGCTTACATATCCAGGATCACAGTTGACTTTTTAAGGAAAGCCAAGGCAGGAGTTCAAGACAGTAACCTAGGGGTAGCAACTAAAACAGAGACCATGGAAGGACAAATGATTACTGGATTGCTCCTCATAGCTTACTCAGCCTGCTTTCTTATGAAACTCAGGATCACTTGCCCAGGGTTGGTGCTAACACAGTGGGCAGGACTGTCCTACATCAGTCATTAATCAAAAAAAAAAAAAAATGTCCTATGAATGAACTTGCCGATAGGAGGCAATGATCGAGGGATTTTCTCAACTGAGGTTTACCTTCCCAGATAACTTTAGTGTGGTAGTTTGAATGAGAATGGCCACACAGGCTCATAGATTTGAACGTTTGATCCCCTGTTGGTGGAATGGTTTGGAAAGGACTGGGAGGTGTGGCCTTGTTGAAGAAACTGTGTCACTGGGGGTGGAGGATGATGATTTGAAGGGTTCAAAAGCCCAAGCCATCCGCAGATCCCCAGTTAGCTTGTGCGCTCTCTCTGTCTCTCTCTGTCTCTCTCTGTCTCTCTCTGTCTCTCTCTGTCTCTCT